TGAGCCATCGTGCCACTCTTAAATACATATTGTTGGATCAGGCAGTTGCATACATCAGAGCTGGTCAGATTTTAAACTTTACTTTTCACTAGAATGCTAAGTAACTAATAACATGAGAGGAAGATGTAAAATAATGGTTTAGTAAGGTGAATATGGAACAAGGAGAAATGTGTCTCTGAGTACATGTTCAGTATAGGAATTGGTTTTGAGTACAAATTGCTTCTCACAACTTCTGTTATTCGGTGCTCTTATTTTTTCATCATTTAATTTCAGGTTTTTGTTTTGGTATGGTTATTAAAAATGAAAAATCCCTCATTTACTTAAGTTTATATCAGAATGTCTTGGTATATCTATACCTATCTTATGTCAGTCCTGATCCAGGTGATTATGAATGTTACCTTGAATTACAACTAGCAATTGTTTTATAAGACTCTTTCTTTATAAATACTCTTAATTGTTACAAGCCACAAATTATTTCCCAGTAGGATTAGTTATTTTTGCTGCCTTAGAGATGTTCTAAAGAGTTTTCTATTAAGATAAGTATTACAATGAATAGAAAAACCAGCTAATTTCTTTTACTGCCTTTACTTTTCACTGCATGGTAATCATCTTAAATAAAATGATTGTCTGTAGAGTACAAAGAACTACTAGAATAATGGAAGTGTTAACTGCAAAGAATATTTCACAAGCCAAAAATAAAAGGATTTCTCTCCAATACTGCAGGTTATGTTCCAATCTAGGGGAAATGTCACAGTGTATCAAATTAGGCCATCAAACTCTTCCAGGTTCACATGGCATGGACTTTGAAAATATGTTTAAAATTGAACAGAAACTGACACTAAGGCTAAGAAGACTGTGCCATCAGGATAGTATAGCTATCCTGATGTTATACTGTAGCTCAGCAAAAACAATGATTCATTGTATAACTGTTGAGAAAAGTAGTAATTCAGTACCAGTAATATAATGATTTATATCATTATATACCAGTAATATAATGATTTATATAAATGTATGGTGCAACTAACTACAGTTAGAACATTTAATATAGCTCTGTTCATCACATGTTAAATATATTAAGACAGAGAACAGTTACTGAAGGAACAACCAAAGTAGTCAATAGGTTGGAGAAGAAAAGCCATAAGGCAAATAATGTTTTTTATTCCAGTATGTTTATTTACTACCTCTACCACTGGCATCAGCTTCCCTTTCAAAACCTGTTGCTAAGGAAGAAAAACAGTAAGGTGTTAGTGTACTCTTGTTCTTTTTTGTGTTTTCCATATATACTGGTTGAGCCACTGTATGAGAGACTGCTAGATTAAATAGGCACATCTCTTCTTATATTCAAACACAATTCACATTCAAGTGATTGAGAAAGAATCTTGTTAATAATTTTTCTCTTCTTATACAGCCCAGCTATTACTAACCTGAAAAAGTATACCGAAGAGACACTGAAGCTAATTTCTTACAAAAGAAATAACATTTTGTTATTAAAATAATTGTTACACATACCACATTCCCTTTCTTCCAGTGAATAAACCCAAAGGGATACAAATACAGTTTAATGTGATATCAGTGAGATGAGGAATTTTGCTTTGTAGTTTATAGTATGCCTATACAATACAATAAAATGTCTACAGTCTAACTCAGAAATAAAAATTAACTAATCCCTAACTACACATAAAGCAATCAGTAACTGATGCCACCAACTCATGTCCCAAAGCTATTTGTTGTAATTTACTGAAAGTCAATAGTATAGGGTCTGACTGAATTTTGAAAGAAATGCTTCCAAAGGGCAGATAAACATACACACAAACACACACCAGGAAAAAAAAAAACACTGCCTGCAGGCCTCCACCATTCTTACCCCATTGAATTGGGGAACCACAAACGGGTTCTTCCAGGACATACTAGTTGGGTTGGATAAAACTGGTTGGAGAAGGCAGTCCTACAAGTACTCCAGTTTCAAGCCATATAGCTGTTAAAATCCAAACAATAGTTTGACTTGCTCTCAGAAGCCAACAGGAAGCCAGCACAAGGCCAGAGCATAGGTATTTGTACTAGCATGTATCTGTTAACAACTATGTAATTGCATCTGAGACCAATTCAAATTTCTTGACGGTCTTCAAAGCAGCCTCATATAAAACAACTTGAAATGAAACAAATACATGGTGATGGTGGCATGAATAACTGTTACAAGGTCCTCATAGTTCAGATACGGCCACAACTCCTATACCAGTGATGGCGAACCTTTTAGAGACTGAGTGCCAAAACTGCAACCCAAAACCCACTTACGCATCGAGTGCCGGGGGTGTGTGGCCCATTGGATGGGTGTGGCCCATTGGCCACACCATTGGGTGGGCGTGGCTGCGGTGGTAACAGCAGACTGGGTGGGACTAAAAAGTTCAATCAATCAACTTTGCAATATCTTTTTTTCCCGTGAGAAGTTGAAATTGACTGAACCTTTTTTTTTTGCACACGGCGGCAGAGGCCTAAAGTGAAAAGGTTTTATAAAACCCAGCTGAAGGCCTAGGACTGGGGCGACGGCGCGCGTGCCCACAGAGAGGGCTCTGAGTGCCGCCTCTGGCACCTGTGCCATAGGTTCGCCACCACTGTCCTATACCAACCAAAACCGGGATAAAACATTTTTTAAATTAAAAATACATTTGCTCTTGTTATTGCAGGATGACAGGATTTTAGAACCCCAAGACAGAAAAGTTCTAAGTCTGTCTGCAGCCAGCTGTAATATAACAATAGCTGCATAATAGATGTACTTAGTTGCTACAGTAAATATGGGGTTGAAGATAATTTTTTCCCCTTTGCAACTTTTATTTGAAAATAATAGGGAACAGGAGCCATTGTCAATTTTTCTTACAAGGATCTGACAGCCCTGGGGCAGGTACACCAGTCAGCACTTTTGGGCAGGCAAGAACTCGGCAATGATCCTTTCTGGACTAGCAAGTTTCTGTTGCAACTTAACCAATAACATTCCTTCACCAGAGAACTTTTGAAATAGATACTAACAGTTACACATTTATTTATTATTATTAATTAAATGTGTTTGCCTCCCATCTTGCCATGGAGCAACTCTGGAGGTTTATCTTGGAACCTTAATTTTAGGCTGAGTATCAGCAATTCAAGTCACGATTTTGTAGCCCTACAGCTTATCAATTGTATTTTTCCTGTATGGCACTTTGACTTTCCATTTAGTCACTTTAATTCAGTCTTTCACTCTTTATTGCTAGCAATAAAGATAACAGATCCTATTTCTGAAACTTCTATGTCAAGGAGAACAAACAGATATTATGTTTTCTGCAACCTTTGTCAATTCCTTGATGATTATATTACTAAAACTAAAGGCGAAGGAGAAGTAGTAGGTGACAAACTTTAAATTATACATGATTCTATAAGATTTAAAATGTACTGGAACTTCAACATCTTTTTTGGTAAGAGAGAGGGGTTTAAGAAAGGATGGGGAAGGAGGTTATAGGATATTTCCCTTCTGCCACTGAATTGTAGAAAGGACACTGAAATATCCTATTGGATTGTTACCTTCACCCGGTCCCGATATTTTATAGCTTTTCCCAACCTCGTGCCTATCAAATGAATTTGAAGTACACCTCCTAAAGGTGCTTTTTTCCAAAAGGAAAAACTTTCTTGCTTTTTTTTCTTTGAAAATGTTTTGCTTTTCATTCATGAAATTCCTTCAGTTCTAACACTGGAAAAAGCATCTTTGGGACAACCATGACCTGGATGACTGAGAATCTCCATAGACAGTTACAACTCCTAGAACAGTGGTTCTCAACCTGTGGGTCGGGACCCCATTTGGGGTCGATCGACCATTTCATGGGGGTCGCCAAGCAAGGCTGTCCGCCATTTTTTTTGTCCGCCATTTTTTTTGTCCGCCATTTTTCCCCCCCCTTTTCCGGCGGGTGCCTTACCTCCCTTGGGCTGGGCTAGCTGGTGGTCGGCCTGCTCCGTCTCTGCCGCTTGCCAGCTACGCCTCGGCCAGACCAGGGGGCGGAACCATGCATGCGTGGCGCTCCCGGGCAGGAAAAGTCCTCGACTTACGACTGGTTGGGTAGTCCTCGACTTACAACCGGTTTAGTCCTCGACTTACGACCGGTTTAGTCCTCGACTTACAACCAGTTTAGTCCTCGACTTACGACCGGTTGGGGTCGCGGCATTAAAAAGGTTGAGAACCACTGTCCTAGAACTTATTATGGTGGTTGCTCACATGGCTGGGATGTTCAATGATGCATAGAAATCTAATTCTAAAACATTAAAAGGGTAATAACTTGGGAAGGCCAGTCTAGCTGTTTGTAAACTTTGTCCTCCAGACAAGAGGAGAGATGAATCCTTTGCGGAATTTCTTGAAAAAAAAATGTGACGCCACATCAGTTTAACCATCAGTCATGCACTAGGTCTTCTGCGTTATTTATATTCTGTCTTTCGTGTTGGAGTTCAAGAAAGCATTGAAATAGGATTAAAGTACAGTACCTGGTCCAAGGTCACTTAACGAACTTCATAGTAAACTGGGCTTAAACTTCAATTCCTCAGAAACTAGCCGGATCTTTGACATTCGACACAAGGTAACACATCACGTGTGGACACTTTATGATAAATACCGCAATAGGAGGGCAAAGCATCTCCAAACGTAACCGAAATAGAGGTTTCTCACAACCACAAAGCCAGGACATGTAAACCTGCATTTCCTGGAACACTCTTTTCTGGACGGCTGTTAAAAGCAGGCTTTCTTCAAGTGGACGTCTGCAGGACCTTAACTTTTTCTTTTCATATTCACCTTGTTTCTCAACCTTGACAATTTTAAGGCATGTGGACTTCAACTCCCAGAATTCCACAGCCAGCAACGCTGGCTGTGGAATTCTGGGAGTTGAAGTCCACATGCCTTAAAATTGTCAAGGTTGAGAAACACTGAATTTTACAGCGACTAAATTGCCGGTCTTTTCCCTTTCTCTCCCCTCCCTCTTTTCCTCCAATACCTGCAGGGTGGTTATAGAAAGGACGCAGCCGGGGTGGCAACTTAAGCTCGATCTTGTCTAAGAAACGGTGGTAAGAAGCACGAAACCCAGCCACGGCAGCCGCCATCCTGCGCGCGCGGTGACAGCGGCGACGGGAGCCCCGAATTCAGTTGACGGCGCCGCTCGACCCGCCGTCCTTCTCCTCCTCCTCCTCCTCCTCCTCCCACGACCCGAGCAGAAGCAGAACCCGCCCCGCGGACATAAGCCGGCGGTAGGGCGAGCCCGGTTTGCTTCGTTCTGATTTGCTGCTGGGAGGAGAAAGGGGCGTGGCTCAACAGCTGTCCTTCACGCTATTGGCCGCCCGTTCCTACTGCCACCGCCGGCTTTCTCTCTTAGCGTCGGTGACAGTAGCGGCGCCGGCCCTCGTCTGCTTTTTATGACGTTCGTAAAGCGAGCGCGGAGCAATGACGAGGGAGCAACAATTAGTTTCTGTTGTGGAACATTGGCTCCGGAAATAACGTCGACTTAGGGTGACTTCTTGAGCCTTGTTCAGGAACGACGAGCTGGTTTCCAAACGGTAGCCGCGGCCGGACGTGCCTTTGCCACCGCCCTTTCACTCGCCCTGACTTGCTTACACCTTTGAGCGTTCGGTGGGTTGACAACGTGAGGGAAGGAGGAGACGTTTAAAAGCGTCTGGCGCAGGGGTAGGCAACCTTGGCTCTTTTATGACTCGTGGACTTCAACTCCCAGAATTCCTGAGCCAGCGCAGCTGGCTCAGGAATTCTGGGAGTTGAAGTCCACGAGTCATAAAAGAGCCAAGGTTGCCTACCCCTGGTCTGGCGGTTGGCTTGGTTCTCTGTCCAGAAAGCCAGCGCAAGCTACGTCAGGGGCAAACACTTCTTCCTCTCCCCCCCCCACCCACGCTTTAATTCTCGCGATGTCTCCAGCGAGCCGTTCCCTGTCTGTGGGCGGGGAGGGGGAGGAGCTAGCGTTGCTGTGGCAGCTCTCCGAGGAGGCGACGGGGAGG